ATTTTGGAATGTACGCACTATGTATGCAATTGGTAAATTAGTACAAGTAACAGCCGAGATGAGAAGATACAACCTGCATGTGCTGGGAGTCAGTGGAAGCAGATGGACTGATTCAGGGAAAATACGTACAACAACAGGTGAAACACTACTGTATTCTGGTCGAGAAGATGGACAGCATCATGAAGGGGTTGCAGTTATTCTCAAAAAGGGGGTTGAGAAGTCAATAATGGAATGGAAGCCAATCAGCAGTAGATTGTTAACGGTACGGCTTAGAGGAAAGCAAGTCAACATGACAATATTCCAATGCTATGCACCCACTAACGATGCAGGTGAAGAACATAAAAATGCTTTTTATGAACAACTACAGCAAGAACTAGACAACACACCAGAACATGATATTAAGATCATCATGGGTAATATGAATGCCAAAGTCGGAGCAGATAATGAACTATTTAATAGAGCAATGGGACAACATGGTTGTGGAATCATGAATGAAAATGGAGAGCGACTTGCAAGTTTTGTACCACCAACAACTATGTAATTTTAGGAACACTATTCCCCCACCAAAACATTTATAAGTTAACCTGGCACTCTCCAAACATGAGAGACAAAAATCAAATTGACCACATCATGATAAATGGAAAATGGAGACGATCATCACTGGATGTGAGGGTGAAGAGAGGTGCCGATGTCGATAGCGATCACCACCTGGTAACAGCTGCTATCAAACTAAAACTGCGTGGCACAGAGAGAAAGAACATGGAAAGAAAGAAATTTGATGTGGATAAACTTAAAGACATCAAGGTACGACATGAATTCAACATCATGCTCAAGAATAAGTTTGATATATTACAAAATTTAGAACCAGGGGACAACATACATGGAACATCAATTGACAAAAAGTGGGAAAAAATTAGCAACATCTAAATTGAAACTAGTGAGAAACGTATTGGTTATAGGCAAAAACATAGCAATAAAACTGGATAATGCCTAAAATATGGATAATGTTTGGCTCAAGAAGTGATGCGAAAAAGAAAGTAAATGAGACCAAATCTCTGAGACTTAAAGAGAGACATCAAAGGGAATATAGTGAAATAGAGAAGGAAGTGAAAAAGGCTCTACGTGCAGACAAGAGAGCACACATAGATGACCTAGCAACAAAAGCAGAAGAGGCAGCCAACAGAGGTGAGCAAGGAAACCTTTACAAAATAACAAAGGCACTGAGTGGCAGGAATAGACCATCTCCAAATCTACCTGTCAAGGACAAAACAGGGAAGTTTCTGTCATCAGAAAAAGAGATTGAGGCATGATGGACAGAGCATTTTAAGGAAATCTTAAACAGACAACCTCCAACTCATGAACCTGACATCAGTGATCCAGCTACTGACCTAAACATAAGCATTGAACCACCACAAATTCCAGAAATTGTCTCTGCAATACAAACTCTAAAAATATGGAAAAGCACCAGGAAATGACAACTTAAATGCAGAATTGTTCAAAAAAGATCTACTTCTTACAGCCATAATTTTACAGCCAATTTTTCATGACATCTGGGAAAGTAACACCATACCAGATGAGTGGAACCATGGAGTCATCATTAAAATACCAAAGAACGGCAACCTAAATGACTGCAACAATTGGCGAGGAATAACACTTCTTTCCATTCCAAGTAAGATCATGGCTAAAATCATCACCAGAAGGATATCCATAGCTGTAGATGTCAAACTGCATAAAGAACAAGCTTGATTTAGACCAGGGCGAAGATGTATTGATCAAATATTTACACTATGAAACATCATTGAACAGTGTACAGAATGGCAACGACAGTTATATATTAATTTTATTGATTTCGAAAAAGCCTTCGACAGCATTCATAGAGACAGTCTCTGGAAAATTGTGCGGTCATATGGCATCCCACAACATCTAATAGATATCAAGAGTTTTTATGTCAACTTCAGATGCAGAGTTGGAAATACCAGCATCGAGTTTGATGTGAAAACAGGAGTCCGTCAAGGCTGTGTAATGTCATCAACACTCTTCATCATAGCCATTGACTGGGTCATGAAGAATACAACATCTGACATTCCGAGAGGCATCAGATGGGGTACATTTACAACTCTAGAAGAACTGGACTTTGCTGATGATATAGCCTTATTCTCTCACTCCCACCAGCACATTCAAGACAAAACCAGCAGGCTACACAAATATGCAGGGAGCATTGAACTGAAGATAAACACCAAAAAAAAAAAAAAAAAAAAAAAAAAAAAAAACAAAAAACAAAAAACAAACAAACAACAGAGGTCATGACCCTAAATGTAAACAACCCACAAGCGGTAAAAGTGGTAATTCACATCCTTCCATGCACCAGCACCTTTACATACTTGGGTAGCAAAGTAACAACAGATGGTGGAGCAGAGACCGACATCAAAGAGAGACTATCCAAGGCAAGAGCAGCATTTAACAACCTACATACAGAACAAAGCTGAAACTATACAAAAGCTGCATTCTACCTATCCTTTTGTATTGATCAGAGTGTTGGAGAATGACAGAGAGCGACCTAAACAAGCTGTCGACATTCCATACAAAGTCCCTGAGAAGAATCTCTAGAATATTTTGGCCTAATACCATCTCAAATCAGGACCTTCTCAACAGGTGCCAGCAAGTGGACATCGGCACAATCATCATCAGAAGACGCTGGAACTGGCTTGGCCACGTACTTAGAAGAGACTCGAGCAGCATCATAAAGACAGCTCTCTTCTAGACACCGGAGGGAAAACGGAAGAGAGGGAGGCCCAAAATCACTTGGCGGCGGACAGTGGAAGCTGAATTTAAAGAACAAAAGAAAAGCTGGGGCACACTCCAAAAGCTAGCCAGTGACAGACAAGGATGGAGAACCCTCGTTACTGCCCTATACGCCAAAGGCGTCACGGGCAGTAAGTAAGTAAAGAGCGACGAACAATTAAAAAATATACATCTCGAATATTTTGTCTTTTCATTTGCAGTTCAGATTGATATTGCAAGTTTATGCGACTCTGATCATGATGTAAAACATAACAGTTAAAATTACGGTCATTTTAAAAACGTAACAATAAAAATACATCATTGAATCAAAGGATATTAATTTTTATGCTGTTCTAAATTAATATAAACTCACATACTTTAATGATTAATACATGTACATACTTTCATAATTAATATATTAATTGGTTATTTAAAAATTTTCAATTGAATAAGTAATTCAATTGTTGCCGGTAATACATGTAGAATGTAATTCAATTCATGCTATCAATGATTGAACTGCTGGGAGCATCCAATGAATTGCGTATATTGATATCAATATCAATATCAAAATCATATTAATTGATCGATGAGAAGATACGTGTGTTTGATTTGCTCTTTACTTTCACCGAATTCATAATTCTTTCAAATATTCTATGAAAGTCTCACTTATATCAATCTTACTAGATTGCTCATTATTTGTTTTATATCTATACACATAATATCTGATAAGTAATTATTTTCCACATTTATTGTTAAGAAGAAATCAAAATCAAACTTTGTCATGGTCTGTTGGCTTTATAGCGTGTTACTTAAGATGTATGAAGATGTATGAAGAAAAAAGTGTTAATTATACAGATTTAAGTGTAAATTTTACACTTTAATGTGTAAATTTTACAGATTAAAGTGTAAAATTTACAGATTAAAATGTAAAATTTACAGATGAAAGTGTAAAATTTACAAGTACACTTTAAAGTGTAAAATTTACAGTTGCTGTTTGAGAAGCGTATTAGACTTTCCCATGTTTCAGAACTTCTTGGAAAAAGCTATGATGAATTGAAATTTATAAAATAGTTGGATTCTTTTCATTTATTGTATACGTATTATACACTTATTATTAATTATATTAACACCATGACGTTAGTACATAACATGGACATTATATGACGTTATAGTAAATAACGTCAACGTCATGACGTTATATAGAATTAATTTGGAAAACAATACCAAATTCAAACGGCTGTAAATATAAAACTAGGAAAGATATTGTTAAAAAATAAAATGTTTTATTATTTTCTAATCTAAGAGCATTGATTGAGAAAGTTTCATCTGTTTTGGTGACAGGACGGATTTTGGTACATTCTGGATTTAGTTCTTTGTTGCGGACAGACACACGTACGCACAGACAGACAGACTAATAAGGGTAAAACAGTAAATCCCCCTCTCCTTCGGAGCGGGCGTATTAAAAAAACTGCGATGCGCCGACCACCTATTTTTGATTCTCTTTAAATGCCATTTCCATATATAAATGAAATAACAACCTCACAATATTATGTGAAAAAAAATTTTAAACATTGTGCAAAAAATGAAAAAAAAAAAATTTGATCAGTCACTTTATGAGATATTTAAAAAAGTGCGCTTTTTTTTCTTGGACAACCCTCCTACATAGAATTGCATATGTAATTTTAAAAATTCATTTGCGGTCAATTGGCAAAATGATATGTAAAAAATAAAATGGAGGCCTTATAAGTGATTGTTGCTTAAAAAAAACTCTAAAAAAGCCAAAATATAGGTTTGACTTCAGTTCCCTTTTGGAGAATGTTGGAAATACCAGTGGAGGGGGAGGATGGGTGTTTTAGTGTTTTCTACAGCCTTGACGTCAATATTATGCAGAATCACAGTTTAAATTTGTACATTCATTTGATGCTCCTGTATAATTTCAGTTTCTTTCGTCATTTGTATATACCGAATTGTATATACATTACTTTTCGATCTTGTTTTATAATTTACGTTCAATAGCTTCTTGAATGTCAATTAACTTTTATTTAAAAAAATTAAAAAATTGTTTACTGACTTAAAGAATGAAAACAAAATATATTTTTGTTATGTCCCTTAAATCATATTTCGTATCATATAGTTCATGTGCACTGAGAAAGCATTCTCAGATTACGGAGATAAATGTATGGCATTACTCTGGTTCTTATCGTTTTTCGTTTTGACAAACAGAACATGACACGACTAAAGCTTTTAGTGGTTGCCATCATTGTCAGTGTGTCTGGTAAGCAACATACTTTGTATTTCTTGTTCAGTTTTTATATTAAAAAAAAGAAAATATTTTTGAAGGTACTCCAAGGTTTGTTACATTTTTTTCAAAAGAATAAAGCAAAATTGTGTTTTAAATTCGTCCAGAGAGTACATGTATATATAATATCTACGAATTATAATATCAAAATTAGCTAAGGCACAGAAATCGTCCGGCACTCACTTTATGAAATGCGAAGATAAGGAACAGTATAATCATATAATGATATCAGGTACAAATCTGATTTCAATATAACTAAATTTCTTATCTTACGTTTGTATTAACAAAATATATCTATAAATTTAAAGAATATCATGTTGTTTGAAGATTAACTTTTAGTTAAAATGAAATATTTGATGGTTTCAGACTCTTTCGCCAGATGTCCGCCTGGTTGGGACCACCATGGAAACTCTTGCTATTTATTCTCAAAGGATACCCAATCCTGGAGCGAGGCCTCGGTATTCAGAACTATGCATATCAATTGAATAACTCCTCGGAATTCTGCATGTATTTTCCAAAGCTAAATCCATATTCAGATGTACCTTTAACAAGTGGCATTAGCTGCACTTTTTTTAAATATTTAATGCAATTCAAAACATTTCAGTTTGACCACCCGTCAAATTGAATACGGATCAAATCATTTTTCGCTTTGCTTGAATATATCTATACGAAAAAGAAGAAAAAATTTGGTCTATTGTATGAGAGAGAACATGGATTCGTTATATAGACATAAGCAGTTTAGATTATTGGTATTTTTTCATATCATTTTACCAATTGCATATGTATTTATAAAAAAAAAATAAGATGAACCTATCTATGACCTTCCATTCATACCAGTCAGCTCTTCTTATAGATTATTGTACCAGAACAGACTATTACTTAAATTTCTTATTGTTACATGCTGAACAAAACATGAGTTTTATTCCCTATCATATTCACTATAATTGCAATAATCTATAATGAATTGAAAATAAAACAAAAGTATTTGATTTAACATTAAAGTCAATTTCAAATTAAATAAACTTTCAAAAATTGAATGCAATTAAGTATTTTGTTTCTTTTTATGTGTAAGGATACGTGCAATTCTGTCGGTGATGGTTTAGTTGCCATTGAATCGCAAAGTGAAGAGACATTTTTACAAAATAGGCTTCACCATGAATTTGGTGAGTATGCTCTATCTTTTTATTCAACACTTTGTCGCATTTACTGGTATCATGACGGGTGTCTCTTTTCATTTCATATACATTTTGGAAAAATAATATAAAATGCAACAAAATAAATTCTGTAACTTTTTTTTTTTCATTTTTTCCATGTTGTTAAAAGAAGACAAAAATATAATACAGATATCTGTATGTTCGTGTTTATCACATAATTGCTGAAGTTTATGCTTTATTTCTCTAGTTTCTTGTAAAGAATACGTGTTTTATAGCTAGCTTCATGTTTTGGCTGGGAGGATCGGATCAGTTTCAGAACAACTCTCTCTGGTACTGGGTGGCAACTGAACAAAAGATAAACAGTGGTTATACCGACTGGTACCGTACCGAACCAGACCATCCAGGTACATGTAGTAATTAACAGTGGTTATACCGACTGGTATCGTACCGAGCCCGATCATCCAGGTACATGTGGTTATTAACAGTAGTTATACCGACTGGTACCGTACCGAGCCCGACCATCCAGGTTCATGTAATAATTAGCAGTGTTTCTCCCATAGATTCTCATCTTCCGGATTGTTAAAAATCAAATACATAAATCAAAATCTGAATTGACTTTAAAAGTTGTTTTAATAAAGATATTGATACGATAAATACACCGTTACCATGTTCAATAAACTCACCACATCGATATAACATAAACAACATGAAAAAAAACATCCCTCCATCTTAAGCAGCTGTTTCTGCACTCTAGCCTGAAAATTTATTTCCTTGTCTTGATATGATTCCTTAAAGCGATGAATTTCCTAAATGTGTTTGTTTGCCGTCCGACTCGTTCAATAAACAGGAAACAGATGTTATTATGCATCACGATTTCCTCGATTAGGAGGTTTATCTTACCACATCGACGTGGAAGAAACGGAACTCCACATGGTTGCAATATCCTTCTTAAAACAATTTTAATGTTGTTTGAAAGAAAAATCAGACTCTTTTGAACTAATTGTATAAGAACAATGCGGAAGATTTATCGACTGTTATAGTATAGAGCTCGAACATCCAGGTTCATGTTCATGTAAGAATTTAAAGTGGTTGTATCTACTGGTATTGTCCCGAATCTAAACTTCCACCAACATTTATTTAAAAAAAAAAACAAAGAGTACATTGACTGGGCATCATTATATCACCCGGTTATATACAAAAAATAATGGTATTGGATGAAAAATCTAATAACATTGAGCCTTGTTAAATTAATCACTGACGCTTTTGTTCCAAGGAAATCGTCCTAATTAACGAAGCATGTGGATTACTTCATGTAAATGTACTCAATTTAACAAGTTGACCTGACTTTTGGCGGAGAGGTGAACTGTTTGGGTTGTTTAACGCGTTTCAAATGTTCTCGTAAGTGATCAGTAGCCAGTGAATTTTTCTAGAAGTGAATTAATACATTTATTTTATTAGGTAAACAGCACTGTCTAGCGATGAGAAAGGATCTGAATTATCAATGGTGTGACGACTACTGTCCGGAGCTGCATGGCTACATTTGTGAAAAAGCGTGCGTTGTGTTTCTTTTTCAATAATAAGGTTATTAAAAGGCCTAACCGTAAAAAGGGAAGAAAATGTTAAATATGAAAATTAAAGACTCTAATTTTTTTTAACTCGTCTTGGTGCAATCCTGCAAATAATTACCAAAGTACTTTCTAAATAGTCAACATATTTAAATGTTAATTCACGTATTTGTGTAATGTCTGTACCTTGGAGATGATTTAGGATGCGTATAAAATTTAAGATTACAGTAGATAACGAAAATAATCAATGTTTATGTGCTTTTCCTATTTATCCCTTGGGGTGGATGACTACTCATTTAATTACAAGAGTCTTTAGTCTGTCTAATTTTCTCCATCAAATCGTTGAAAAATAATTTTGCAATAAATCTTTTCAGGATGAACGATGGGTCAGACCTCATAGGCTAATCCGAAATACATTCTATCAAGATCGGATATCCAATCATTTCCTTCATTTTTTCTGCAATAAATTCTTGCTAGAGCGACCATTTGTATTTTTTGTTCTTTCATTAATATTGAGTTTCTGCATTCTTGCTGGAACAAGTATGTGTCTATAATAATGTAATAAAACAACATCTCAATCACCACTAACTTTTGACGCAGAAAGTTAGCCGTCATATCATTAATATTTTATCAATAGTAAATATTTAGCGTTCAAAATAAACAAATGAAATATATAACTGTGTGTAAAAGAAGGTTGGACAACTGTTCCCTTCAAGCTCATATTTTTAACTGAAATTGAAACAGATCAAGTTCAAAGTTTAATGATCGAGAAATCATATTATGGGAATCTGCATATAATTATAATGATTCTTTCTCAAGTAATACAGCATCATCTTTCTCTGTCAGTGGAAAAACTCTATCAACAATATCATTTTATCTAATAAGGAGGTATTGTTCTCTGAATCTATGTATTGTAAAAGCAAGAGGTTTCAATTTTCTAACCCATTTTTAGGTCACCTGAGTCACTAAGGTGACCTATTGCTATCTGTTTTCGTCGTCGTGTGTTGAGCGTTGAGCGATGTGCGTCGTACGTAAACATTTGAACATTGTCATCTTTTTCTCCGGAACCGCTTAACCAGTTTCAATCTTTTTTTTTCCATAAAGCATCTATGGGTGAAGGGGAACAAAATATTTGAAGTTCATGGCCTTTTCCCCCATGGAGCCTGCGGAATGGGCTAAACCCACCAAATTAAATGCAATTTTTAAAAATCTTCTTCTTTACTCCTGGACATCAAGCAGTGAAACTGTTGGCATAAAATAATTAGCAAATAAGCCCTCTTCCGAAATTGTGAAATTCATGGCCCCAAGTTCAAGGGTTCTGGTGCTAGGGTTGGTATATAGATCATATAGTGAAAGTGCATTATTTCTTTTAAAATCTTCTTCTCTTCTCCTGGGTATTAAAAAAACTAAAGAAGTTCATCGTTATGATGAGAATGGGAGATTTTCCCAAAATTGTTAATTTATGGCCCCTGGGTCAGGGGTTCTGGTGTAAGTGCGATGCTCCATTGATAATGAAAATACATTAAATTCATTGAAAACCTTCTTCTCTGCCCCTGAGTATTAAACAGACAAAGTAAATAGTTATGATTAGCATGGGTGCCTCTTCCAAAATTGTGAATTTCTTAGCCCCTCTTTCTTAGCCCCTGGGTCTTTGCCAGGGGGTCCGATTTTAGGGTGGGTTTCTATTGATAATATAGTGAAAATGTATTAATTTTTTGAAAATCTTCTCTGCACCTTGGTATTAAACAAACTAAGTGCATAATTATGATAAGCAAGGATGACTCTTCCATAATTGTGAATTTCATGTCCTTTGGGTCAGGGGTCCTGGTGTTAGGGTGGGGCTCTATTTATAAAACAGTGAAAATGCATTTATTCTTTAAATACCGTCTTCTATGCTCCTGGTTATTATTTAAACAAACTATTTGCAATAATAATGATAAGCAAGGATGCTTCTTCCACAATTATGAAAGTCATGGTCCCAGGGTCAGGGGTTCTGGTGAAAGGTGGTGGGGGTGGTTCTATTCATTATAGAGTGAAAAAGCATAATTTCTTTGAAAATATTCTCTGCTCCTGGTTACAAAACAAAAAAAAATTAAGTGACATGTATAGTATACAGAGCAAGAGTGTGTCTCCCAGAATTGTTTCATGGCTCCTGGGTCCGGGGGTCCGGTGTTAGGGTGGGACTCTATAGATTATACTGAAAATGCTTTAGTTCTATTAAATAATCCTGTCTGCACCTTGGTGTTGAGCAGTTACACATATACATAGTTATGATGATCAAGGGTGCCTTTTACAAACTTGTGGTCCCAGGGTCAGGGGTTCTGGTGTTTCTCGAGGGGGATTCTATTGATAATGTAGTGTTAATTCTTTGAAAAAAAAACTAAATGTATAGTTTTGATGATGAGGGTAACTTCAATTTTTTGAATTTCATGACCCTGGGTCATGGGTTTTGGTGTTAGGATGGGGCTGTGTTGAATCTGTAGTGAAAATGCACAATTTCTTTGAAAATCTTCTCTGCTCCTTGCCATATCGTAAGCAAACATTTTCATAGATTTATAAGCAAGAGTACTGTTACCAGAGTTTTGAAGATTCACCTATCAGTTTATTTTATACACTATAGATTCTCTAAATTGTTGTATAATACTCAGGTAACCGTTAAGGCCATTGGACCTCTTGTTTATGTTTGTACACTTGCACATCATTTGTGCAGGTTGACAGTGCTGCGCATTTTGAATTGTTAATGATTAAATTCTTTAAAAAAATTATTTTAGGATGCTTTGCTTTGGAACACGCCTGGTGGTATCCTAGCTAATGCTTACCGCAGTGAAAAGGCAGTAGAAGCCTACCACCACGCCTTAGGCGTCCATACGTAAGTAGATACATTATAATGTGAACCTTTTTAAAATTTGTAGTGTTGATTTATTTTAAAGAGACATCAAACAAGATGAATACTTTTGTAAATATATTTAACTTTCAGATTTTTTTTTTTTTTTATAATTTTTTTAGGTCATCTGAGTCACTCAGGTGACCTATTGCTATCCGTCTTCGGACGTTGTTGTACGTCTTGCATTTAATTTGAACATTTTCAGCTACTTCTCTGAAACCGCTGAACCAATTTCAGCCCATTTTAGCATGTTGCATCTATGGGTAAAGGGAAACAAAATTTTTGAATTTCATGGTCCCTGCCCCTCTGGGGTCTGAGGGGTGGGGCTAAAACTATCAAAATGAGTGCTATCTTTAAAAATCGTCTTCTTTACTCCTGGACATCAAGCAGTCAAACTGTTGGCGTGATTGTAATAAGCAATGAGCCCTCTACCAAAATTGGGAAATTCATTGCCCCAGGGTCAGAGGTTCTGAAGTTAGTGTGGGGTTTTGTTGATCATATAGTACAAAATGCATAAATTCTTTAAAAATCTTCACTCCCCCTATATAAATTAGATTAACTAGGTGCATAGTTTTGATGATAAAGGATGCCTCTTCCACAGTTGTGAAATTTGTGGCCGCAGGGTGAGAGGTTCTGTGGGAGGGGGGTCTATTGATTATATAGTTAAAGTGCATTAGTTTGTTGAAAATCTTCTCTCCTCCTAGGTATATAGCAGATAAACCACGTATATCGTTATAATAAGCAAGGGCAACTCTTCCAAAAATGCAAATAGTATGGCCCCTGGGCTAGGGGTTTTGGTGTTATGCAGGGCTCTATTGATTATGTATTGAAAATGCATTAATTCTTTGAAAATTTTCTCTGCTCCTTGGTATTTAGCAGATGAACTAAGTGAATGGTTATCATAATCAAGGATTCCTCTTCCAAAATTTGTGAAATGTGTGGCCTTAAGTCAGGGGTCGTGTAGGGTGGGGGAAGGGGGTATATTTAATATACAGTGGAAATGCATTTTTTTTAAATCCTCTTCTCTCTCCTTGGTATTTAACAGAAAAACTCATGGCATGGTTATTAGGAGCAAAGAAATCTTTTCAAAAAATTTGAAATTCATAACCCCGGAGTCAGGGGTTTTGTTGTTTTGGTGAGGCTCTTTTAAATGTATAGTATAAATGCATTATTATTTTTGAATCTTCTTCTTTTTCCCATTATTATTAAGGAAACATACTAAGTGCATGGTTATGATGAGCAAGAGTGCCTCTTCCAAGATTGTGAATATCTTGGTTTCTTGGTCAGGGGCTATATTGAATCTATAGTGAATATGGATTACTTCTTTGAACTTCTAGGAGGCAAATAGAGTATATTAAGTTGTTATAAGAAAGGGTGTTTTTACCCGATTTTAAATTCTTTACCCTTTTGGATCAATCTATAGTTCTAATATTTCTACTGAAAGACGTTATTATTCATTTTGAATAGTTTATCACTGTAAATAATGCAACGTAAAAGGTCAATTGAATAACAGAATTATTAAAGAAAGTTTTTAATGGTCAGGTAAATTTTTAAATAATAAATAAATGAAAATTGGACAAAAATACTGTATCTTTGTACCATAGATAACCTTCCAAGACTAAGAGAGGCCAATGTAAAGGGAGAATGAAATCTGTTAACTAATAGTGCTCTAAAACTATTGTTGTGTTTAATTCGCATGAGGTTAGTGACAAATGGGGGAAAATACAGGCAAATAGATAGGTCAACATTTAGATTTGCTATTGAGTGCAAAATTAATATTTTGCTGATCCCTGATCATCCTATTTCTTTTTCCTTCAGGCAACATAGCATTTTATGTCAACTTATTTTGTTTTATCCCATTGATCGTAACATACTCAGGTGACTGTTAAGGCCCTTGGGCCTCTTAGGCTTGCTACAGTTTGTATTGTTGGTCATAGAGAACAGCTGGTGTTTTCAGTTTCTGAGATGTATACGAGTTTGTTGCAGCTGATCGCTGCAAAAACCCCAAAATTCGAAAGCAGCCAAACACTGTCCCCTCTATTTATGACAAGTTTTTGGTAACTTCTGTTTCCTTCATGTTGTTGAGTATTCTCACATTCTCTTCCAGAGCGTGATTTCCAACAATTTCCTTTTTTCCTTTTCAAAGCTCGTTGTACAGGATTCTTGTAGAAGTTTTAAACGGTGAAAATTTGAAATGAATACGTTATTAATTATTGTTATTATCGGTAAAGGTGATAATTTATCATTTAAAGTAAATCTATATCTATCATCGCTAAAAATGATTCATTTTCAAAGTTATGCGCAAGTAAAAATCAAAAACTTAGGGAAAAAAAATCTTTTTATGGATGACAAATGAAAACAAATCCTTTTTACTGAAGAGTAATACAATCAAAAACAATTTTAAATACATTTTTTTCCATTTACAAATTTCCAAAGATTCTTGTATAACAATAATTGACAGAGATGCACATGTATGTGGAAGCGTAGCGGGAAAGACAACTCCGGATAGAAAATGGTATTCTCAATACACGAAATATACCTATACATGTACGACACCTGTTCAAGAAAATGAAATTC